AGAGTAGATACCCTGGCCAGCCAGAGGAAGTGGGACTTGGTGAGAGGTGGACCACATGCCAGAACTTAGATCAGAACAAATGGGCTAATTACGTTATATGAGCTAATTGAGAAATAGCCTAAACTTTCATAAATAAGTACAAGTCTCTGTCTGCATCATTATCTGGGAGCTGGAGGGTTGAGCCAGTCCGGCGATGCCCACTCACACGCAAACGCACACACGGAGACATAAAAATTCTTGGGTCATAGATGGAAAGACTTTAAGAAGCCATGATTTAAGAAGCCTAAAGGAGGCTGAGAAAAAAACAAAACTAACATTCCACAACCTCAGGGAATATGACATTAAATCATTGCTCATTTTAGCCCAGAATTGTTTAATAATTCAACAGTCCTGTCTTAACACTTTGACGCAACAAAATCAGCATTTAAGAAAAACAGCATGTATTAGATCCCATGCAAGGATATGCCAAATTGTTCACTCTGATTACGTGAGCTCTGATGTTGACATCAGCCGTGTCCTGGAAAGGAACAGTATAGTATAGCTGAACCAGGTGACCCAAGCTTGCTCACTTTCCAAAGGTGAAGAGGTCATACCACAGACTACATATAACTTTGCAGAACAACAGGGCTTACACCACGGCCTAGGTCTTCAAGCAGAATTCCCAGTCTTGCCAAAGGCCTTAGCCATTTGCTTTATGCAAATACATGGCCAGATTCTCCACTTCCAGTTGTGTGGGTCCCCCCACCCTACCCATCCTCCCATCTCCACTGTGAAGCTGACAGAACCATTCTTAATGTGCCACAGAGGGCCCAGGCACCCCACAAGGGGACAAGTGGGGTTTCCTGTTATATATGAGAAGGGAGAAGTTAGTATCTGGGACCAGGCTTTGGATTGTGCCAAATCCAATTAGGTACTGGAAAACACCTTGAAGAAATCCATTCATTTAGGATTCAGGATGGAATGGGACCAGCTTAGTGACATTGTATCTGTCAGCTCCACCGTCCCACCCATTTCCTCATGGTAGACCTAGAGTCTCAGGATGGTGGAGCGAGCACTGAATCAGGACGGAACCAGAGCTCCGTGCTCCTTCCCTCCCTAGCCTGCCCCATCTATCCAGTTATAACTGAGAATGTAGCACATGGAGACTGTCACAGGATGCCTAGTAAGACATTTACTGAATGAAAAAAATGATTTCAGAGCTCTACTGAGGAAGAGCCTGTGTGGGGGTAACTGCCTGACAAGCTGGCTTTGCAGACTATTACACCAGGGTTTGCACAAGCGAGCACGCTCTGCAAGCAGCTTGGAGTTCCTAATGCAGTACGCATGTGCACATACACAAACATACTACGAAGAACAGTTACATATGTGTATTCGAGCTGATGGAGAAGTTTCGATACAGACTTTTGATGACCTTCCTAGAAATTGGGAGGATGTCCCCAAAGGTTGAACTAGAAGCCATGTGGTTTCCAATTCTTGACTCTGACCGTGCAGAAGCCCCTGACTGGGTCGTCATTCTCAGTACAGAATGCAGAAGGAATTCAAGAACTAAGTGGCATTACTAGGCACTACTATCGCGACATTCTTCCGTCTCATGAATTTATTCATGACCCTTTGGTGATTCCGTGTCTAAAAATGGAAAATAAGCAAAGAGACACTGTCTTTCTTATCCAGCACCGAGTATATTTCTTCATTATTAAGAACCATTTTTAAAGCCTTCAGGTTCAGTATGATCTGCAATTCCTGCTTACTCATCCTGATGACTGACAAGGGGATAATCTAATGATTTATTTACTCAGAGCAATGGTGGAAACAGGAAGTTAGTTGAGGATGAATTCCTTCTAACACTCAGGAGAACCGGAAGATGCCCTCAAATGCATGCAAATACACACAGGACAGCGTGGACGGTATACACAGTTGCATGCTTGGTGAGGAACAGAAGACTTTCACATAGCTCAATCAGAGAGAACGAAACGAAAGACACAAGAGAGGATAAAAGAAATACGCCAAATGTAAGAGTAAGAAATAAGATGAAATTCTGTCCACCAAAGTGGTATCTATACTTTGAATGAAACACGGATGGCTGAAGTCACTTCCTGTTTAGACTCATCGGATGCACTTAAAGACACGGTGCTCAAATGTCACCGGTTACCACACAATTTCTTTTCCTATCTTCTGAGAAGTACGATGCTCCAAAGACTGTTAAACAATTCCTATTTGTCTTTCCTCTGAACAACCCAAAGTGAGCCATCCTCTGCAACTGTCTCGGGGCTGGTCTGTGGCTGCTACGTATTCACATGCTAAGTTCTGTACCCCAAGATCTGGCTGCCTCAAGACCCTGGAATTCTCACACAACAGCTTTTGCCGTGCAAACCCTGCTACCCAAGTTAATTGGTCAATAAAAGGCTAGAGCCTGTAATTGGACAGTAGAGAGAGGAAGGCGGGACTTCCTGAGAGGGAGAAAGGAACTTTGTAAAGAAGAAAGAGGAAGGCCCTTTCACCAGGAGATGTAAGATAAGAAAGATGTGATTATCGGCCTGGAAGGTATAGCAGCCCGAGTGGCTGGGCGAGGCTATGAGGATGTATTTAGATGAGCTAGTTGAGAGCTAAGGGCTACTCTCTGAAGTATTAAAAGGTCTTTGCGTGGTTATTTGGGGAACTAGTTGGTTAAGGAATAATTTGTGCTAATTTCCAACATCAATATATACAGAATATTAATAAACTGACACCATATTAATTTCCAGCATTAATTAATATATAGAGAATATTAATAATCACTTTTATACTTTCTAAATAGTTATGCTAGCTTAAGCTGTACATGGGTGCAGTGTCAGAATGTGACATTTAACACTTGAAGGGCACTCCTCTAAGAGGCTTTCTCTGGGAACTAGGGTAGCCTGGGCCTATTCACCAGGCTTTTGAAATGTGCCCAGAAGCTGGAGTTGTGTTATTAGGAACACTGGTGGATTATTCCTGAACTCAGGTGACACCCGCTGAAATCCAACCCCGCCGCACTGCAGACCGCTCTTCTCAGTCCTATTTTCGTCTGGGACGGACGATCTGACCTGCAGCTGTCTCTGGAGGGTTTCAGGGGAAGCCTTGTGAGTCAGCAGCTCTCCCCTTCCCGAGCACTGCCTCAGCCATTATGCCCTTGCTGTCTGTGTTGAGTGGAATGGCTTAGGAAACACTGTGGTTCCTTCTTACCAGTGGGGGCGTGCATTCCAGGACAACTGATGAGGCCCTCAAGCCACAGGCAATGCCAAACCCTATTGCCCTGTGCCTTTTCCACCATGATGAAGTCACCAGCATGGTGCACAGGCTCTTAGTGTGACCCACACTGCATCTTAGTGTATCTCCTTTGTTTACAACTTCACAATAGAAGATTCTTTCTTCTCCTCCCTTTTCCATTTTCATATGGTGTGTGTGTGTGTATGCACGTGCAGATGCGCTTGTCTATGCATGTATGTGCAGGCATGTTTGCATGTTTATGTAGGTTTGGTAGCAGATGCACACTGGTGTGTGTATGCTGAGGCCCAAGGTTGATGCCAGGAATTAGCCTCTGTGGTTCTTCCACCTTCTTCAATAAGGCAGAATATCTCGTTCAACTATACGGCTAGTCTCACCAGTCAGCTTGCTCTGTGGATTCCTGTCTCTGCCAAAGAAGGGTGGGACTACGGGCAGGCCACCACCCACCTACTACATGAGTTCTGGGAATTTGAATTCTGGTTGTCATGCTTGCACAGTGAGTAACCACACAAGCATCTCCCCAGGCCCCCGAAAAAGTCCATTCTTACAGCAGAGTTCAGCAACTTGGGCACAGGCTTTGATTTCCTTGCTGGTTGAGAACTCCCCCTTAAAGAAAGAACTCTGTGTGCACCCTCCTTTGGGCGTGTAGGAACTGCAGCATTAAGAACCGGCCCTTTGGAGGCATTATTAAATAAAACAGGATGACCTGAGTACAGTGTTGCCGAAGCCCAAGCAATGACTTGGTAGCTAACATCCTGTCAGAGATGACATCCTCTGACATCCTGCACGGGACAGTGGCGTGACATCGGCAGTGTGCCACGTAAAAACCAATGAATTCTTATTTCTGGAGTGTTCCGTTTAACATTTTCAGGCCATGGTTGAAAAGTAACTAAAACGTCAAAAACTGAAGTTGTAGATGGGGGTGGGGATTACCACATAAAGTAGAAGAGTGTGCCTAACCCCCAGGAAATGCCGTACATATCCCCGACCAAAAGAAGGTGTGAGGGTCCTCTGCTCCCTGGCAGCCCTCCTCTGAAATTACATAACTTATTTAATTGTGTACATGTGGCAGTCAAAGAACAATTGGGGGAAGTCAGTTCTTTTCACCGTGTGCATTCAGGGGATAAATTCTGGCCAGCCAACAGGCTAGGAACACTGGGCCACCTTGCTGGCCCAGCCCCCTTTTTAAATAGAAATCCCTTCATGTGGGTGCCGCTCAGACTGTCTGGACACTAATTTCAGCACATCCATCTACTGACCTGTCACAAAACCAATAAACCTTAGTGCCTCAGTTTCCCTAACGGCCAGATGGCATCGACGACAGACCCATCCCTCGGGAATATACATGGATTAAATGGGATAATCTGACTAGTGAATGAAGTGTGATTATTCATATACGTCAGATGTAGAATACAAGGTGAACTCAGGAAAGGTAGGGACCCGAGCACCGGTGGCTCCAGCTTCCCCTCAGGAGCAAGTTGTCCTGGTATCTGCTATTCCTAGAACCCAAACTGCCATTCAGCAGTCATGTTCCTTACCAACCAGCATCAGCAGCCTCAGCCTTGCTCTGAGGAGAGCAGGTTTCCCCTCAATCACACAGCTGTGAGCAGGAGCCCAGACAGCACAGTGCTGCCTTCCTGGACTTAGCTAAGCTAGAAGGGCCAACATAAACCTCGTTCCGAGTGTCCCCTCTCCTCGGGTGTGATGTGGGTCTAAGTGGCTGAGGGGTGACGAGTCCAGCCAAGAAGAGAACTTACCGGAGAATGGAAGTGATGATGGAGGAGCGGTCTGGCCTGGCATCAACTCCGTCTTCACTGGAAGAATCCATGTTTTCCAGCTCTGCAGCACAGTCCTGATCGTCGGCCATCTAGGAAGAAAACCAAACCAGAAAAACAGAGATGCAGAGTGCTGTCTTGTGTGTGCATTCATGTATGGGCAAGTCATGTGTGGGCGATGTGTGTGTGTGCGCGCGCACGTGCCCACATGCCACAGGTAAACCTTGGACGTCACTCTCTAGACAAGGGGACAGTTCCCCTTGTGTTTTTAGCCAAGCTCCCTCACTCGCCTGGGTCTCCCCGTTAGGGTAGGCTGGCCGGCCAGTGAGCCCCAAGGATCCGTGTGGCGAGGCTCACAGCTCTGTATGTGGGTGTTAGGGACTGGATGTAGGTCTTCACATGTGATCAGCACTCTACAAACTGCAGGCTTCTGCTTTGTAGCGTTTTTAGGGGACATAGCCCTTAATGAATTAAACATGGGGGTGAGCAGTTTTGTGTATTTAAGCTCCAGAGTTGCTGCACCATCGATGTGATAGTGTCATCGATGTGACAGTGTCATCGATGTGACAGAGTAATCCGATACGTGAGTGCCGACTCTATGGACGGACTCCTTCCAGAGACCAAGTAACGAACTTGAAGACACCAAAGCCCCTGACCTCGGAGCTTCTGTTCCAGCTCCCACAACTTTGTTAAACGTATGTTCAATAAACTGGGTAAGTTCTGTCAGGGTTCGTAACAATCAACCCACTAAGTTCCTGGCAGGTCACAAACGCTCATACCCAGCTGGGCATCACCCAGCATACGTCAACAGCAGTAGTAACTGAGTCACAGAGATCTCTTCACTGCAGGTGTATAGGTGTGTGTCTCTGTGTGTGTGTGTGTGTCTGTGTGTGTGTCTGTGTGTGTCTCTCTGTGTGTGTGTCTGTGTGTTTGTGTGTACAGGATCTTCACTCTACATAACCTACCCAAGTGGACTGCAATTGAGTTTCCTGCTCAGGAGACTTCAAGAAACTTATGGGGATAACTCAGTGGTTGGTGCAAGGGTGAGTGGAGGGCTTCAGGCTGGTCCCAGAAGGGTGGCATGTGCTTGTAACCACAGTCCAGATCCCAGGCTTGTGGATCCCGGAGTTTCACTGACAAACCAGCCTAGCTGAACTGGGAGTTCCAGGGCAGAGCGACACATAGTAGGATACATCCTGGAGTGACACCTGAGGTTGCCCTCTGGTCTGTACACACACACACACACACACACACACACCTTCAAGTGATCCTCACTATTTAAAAATTCAGTTTTTAATCCGCCTCCTTGGATTTGAAGTCCCTTCACGCTCTCACTCTGGGACAGGTGTCGGGAGGCCTGCCCCTGTGTTTCTGTGAGTAAGTCTGCTTGGTACGTGGTACCTCTGCTTGTTTTCTCTCTGTGAGCACACAAAGACATCTGCTACCTGCCTATGTATCTGTGTTCACTGTCTACTTGGCGCCTGTATTATTTTCCATTTATTTGTGCTCTGTTAATTGCTCGGTTCTCACAGGACAATATAAACTCATTGTGGCAGAGGCATCTGGCACACAGAAGGTGCTTATTAAATAAATATTCATTGAGTGGAAGGCTGGAGGAAATGAATACCCCCATGGGAATAGAATTAGCTAAACAAGATACAACCGGTCCAAGGAGAATCCATACTGGAATCACTGCTCACAAATCAAATCCTCATTCGCTCTCAGCAACCAAAGGCAACTGGCGAACTTCAGCTTTCCCTGGTCTCAGACCTGAGCGCGTGGGCAGGCCTCAGCCTTCAGGGACAGTATGTGCACACCTGTCAGGGCTGGCCTAGGGATGTTTTCACTGGGTTGGAAAAGAAGGTGGAGTCTGTTTTTATAGAATATCCTTTGTTCCAGAATGGGACAAGGAATGACATCTAGAGTTGGAAATCCAGCCTAGAGGGGGATGGCCATGGAGGCCAAGCAGCATCTCCATTATGCTAACAGAAAGCTGACACAGGCCTGAAGACATAAGGAACCCATTCCTGGCTGAGGAGCTATTGACTGCCGAGGAGGGAGAGTCTGTGTTCCTTACGAACATGGCCTCACACCCAGGTACAAATGGTCAGCCCTACTGGTGTCAGTGGGAAACTGTTCCATGCCTATACCACCATCCGTTGGAAGCCGAAAGCACCTTCCTGGTTGCCCTGAAGTGAACGACTTTGCTCCACGATACACTCCCACCACCAGGATGCCCTGCCTTTGTCACCACAGACCCACAGCAACAGAACATGCAGACCGGAGAATGAGACTCCCGAAATCAAGAGCTACAACACATCTTACAGGCTGGAGTCTAAGAATTAATCCTTCCTGCTAACAGCCTGCATCAGCAGCAGTGGACTTGACTCTGCAATCAGGAAGGCTAAGCACCCAGCAGCTTCTTCACCCCACTGTGCTGATCCACTTGAGTCTTGGAAACATTCAAAGATCTCAGGTAGTGACCAAGTGGGGTGCTTAACCTCGGTGAAGTCATCGAAGCCAGGTCAACTTTTGAGTCCTGGCTTTACCTCCAAACTCTCTGAGAAAGCCATCTCATCTGGGCTCAACCGTGCTGCCTTCGAGGCCTTCCTAGCATGACTTTCCTGTAACTGTCCCTTTCTCAAGAGCTGCAAAGAGTTGTTTCAGAGACAGTGCTTGCCCACTGTAAAGAGACATGGAATGTATTCTTTAAATGATGTAAGATGTGTTCCAGCTTGGCTGTAACTGGTCCCCCAGAGGCTCCTGTGTTGGTAGGCTAGCCCCCTAGGTGCGGGGATGGGAATCCAGTAGGAAGCCACTGGGGTTCTGTGTGTAGAAAATACGTCCAGCCACTCCCTGGCTACCTCAAACTCGTGTCTTACAATGTTGCTGCTCCTATTTGCGCACTTTGGCCACTGGGATGCCACCTGCCCCAAGAGCGTCCCCAGGTCCATACTGATAAGTGTGGTGTCTGGTTGTTTCTTTCTTTCTTTCTTTTTTCTTTTTTTTTTTATTGTCAAGTTGACACAGCCTAGAGCCACCTGGGAACAGGAAATCTCACTTGAGGAGTTGCCCAGAACAGATTGGCCTGTGGCTATGTCTATGGGGAAGTGTCTTGACTAATGACTGGTGTGGGAGGGTTGTGTGGGAGGGCCCAACCCACTGTAGTGGTATCATCCATCGGCAGCTGGGTCTGGGCCGTGTAGGAATGCTAGCTGAATGAGTAATGAGATTTCTTGCCTCCAGGTTCCTGCCTTGACTTCCCTCATTGACAGACTGTGATCTGAAATAGTCAAGTGAAATAAAAGCCGTTTCTCTCCATGGTCATGGTCTTTATCCCAGCAAGAGAAAGCAGACAGGTGTACCGAGGTGAAGCAAGTCATACCGAGGTGGGTCAGGATATTGCCTGAACTTACATTTTCCTGAGCAAACAGGCTGCCTGCTTCCCTAGCACAGTGACATGGAACAAACTCACCTCCTGCCCAAATACACTCTTCCTTAAGTGAAAAAGTCCTGAGGCCACCACCTTCCCCACCAGTGTCACCTGAGGGTCACACGGTTAGGTAATCAGAGACTTTGTCCATGTCCTGAAGGAGATTGTTAATGTAAGGCCTTAACAGTACGGAGGGGTGTGTGTGTGTGTGTGTGTGTAAGGTCAGGCTGGCTAAACTCTGAAGGAAGAAAAAGCTTGTCAACAGAAAAACCAGGGCATCGTCAGTAAGCTCAGCACAGGAGAAAGAACTTACGAACACTGCCTGAAGCTACCAGTAAACTTACTTTCCCATAAACCCGAAAGGCCAAGGAGTAAAGGTGAGGTGTCGCCTGGAGCCCATACTGCCAAGTGTCGCCTGCCAGTTTTTCACTGTCTTAAGTCACTGTAAGAGTCCCGATGCAAGGGTCCCACTTTGCCTTGGTCAAAGACTTATGCACCTGACTCCCTCCTTCCCTGAGCACAAGTCATCAAGCCCGCCCAAGATTCCCATTGAAAGGATCCGGCGGCGCCTCAGCTCCGGGGCTGACAAGGTAGTCCTTGCGGGTTCAAACAACCACATCTACCGCCCTACACCCGCTCCTTCTTCCCTGTTACATCCGGAATGGCACCGGATGTCGCTAGACCCCGGGCCAGGAGGCCAAGGGACAGCCGTGCTGAGCAAAGCCAGAGATGGCAGGGGGCGTGGAGAGCCTTCTGAGCCACCGCGCCATCCAAGCAGGTTCTGCGAGCCTGCGGGAGGGAGGGGGACCCGGGGCGGGGACGCGCGGGAGGAGGGAGCGCGCGGAAGAGAGGCGGGAAAGCCGCGATGGCGGCCCAAGTTACCGTTCCCACGGCAGCGGCCGGGAGCCCACGGCGGCGTGCGTCCTCCGCGAGGGGCGAGGGCAGCTTTGGCGAAACTGAAAGCAAAAGTCCCGGAGAGGAAGGAGGAGGAGCGGCCGGGCCGGGCGGGGCTGTGCGTACAGCCCGGGAGAGCTGGGGGCCCGCGGGGACGCGCGCTACGGAGCCGGCCGCGGGAAAAGCTCGCACGGGAAGCGTGCGCGGGAAGCGCTCGCCGCCCACGTGCTGCCTGCGTGCCGCCTTCTGCGAGGTTTGGGCGACCCCTGCGGCAGCCGGAGCTGGGCGGATAGAGCGCTCTCTACAGAACTGGCGGGCCGCGGCTCTGCAAAACTGCCCGCCAGAAAAGTGACCCCGGGCTAACCTCTGCCAGTCTGTCACGTGCTCTGAAAATCTGACCGCGCGCTGAAAGTCAGAAAATCAGACCTACACAAAGTTGGAGAACGTCACCGGAGAAGAGTCGCCCTGCAAATCAGGGCCAGGCCTCTCCCCTCTCCTAGACTACATATGCAGATTTCCCCGTGCTAAGAGATTCCAAAACTTCAAACGTCAAAAGTCCCACTGAGAGCACATTCTACAAAACTGTCTGTACAGTAGACGGACCTAAAGATTTGTCTTGCCCCCAACGATGGGGCCCCTCTCTTGTCTCTTTCTCTTTTTCCTAACGTAATCTGGATCTACACAGGATACTGTGCACCACCAGTCGCTTTAGTCTTCCCAGACGTTGTTGTGGAGGGGGGACACTAGGGCGTGAACGTTGTTTTAAGCAAGTTTACACCTCCCAACCCCAGCTTGCATGGAGGTTGCACCAAAATCATCCATGTGTGTGCTCTCTCCCCTGTGTCAGGCACTAGGTTTGAGGAAGCTCACAGCGAGCAAACATGGGTTCCTGTTTATGTCACCTCCAACACAGATAGACAGACATATCTGGGCTTCCGTTTGTAGATACTTCCAATTCCTCCCCTCCACTGAGAGTTCTCAGAACAGCTCATTCACTCACACTGAAGCGAGCTATGTCAGAGAACCTGTTATAGGCATACTGGAGATACTTGCTTCTCAGACGTACAGGTCTCCGGAGCCATCAGGGCTATTTTATTTTATTTTATTTTATTTTATTTTATTTTATTTTATTTTATTTTATTTTATTTTATTT